CCCCCCCCCCAGCAGGCCTCCCTCTTCAACTCTCAAGCTGTATAACTTTGCTCTCTCCTAAGCTCCAAGGGCCCTTCTTTTGCCTCTGTAACTTGTTTCCTGAGCCCATGCAGCCCAGCTGGCTCACTTTTTCTATCTCTGTGACTTTCTAAATAAACTTTTGCTTGTGTTTGGGGAAAAAAAAAGGTAAAAACTATTATAACTTTACAATAAATCTCTAACATCTCAGAGACAGTGTGTTGAAGGACAATAATTTAAATGGACAAGTTCTATTTTCCCTCTTCATTTTGCAATCATTTTGAGCTTATTTTTAAAAAGGTTTTAAAAATAGTACAAAGAATTCTCTTCACTCAGCTTCTCCAAGTATTAATGTCTTACATAATCACAGTATAATCATTAAGACCAGAAAATTGACACACTATTAACTAATCTGCAGACTTTATTCAAATTTCTTCATTGTCTCACTAATATCTCTTTTCTGGGCTAGGATCCAATCCAGGATTACACACTGCATTTAATTGCTGTATCTCTTTAATCTGGATAGTTCCTCAGTTATTGTCTTTAATCTTTAGTCTTTGTCTTTTATGACCTTGAAACTTTTGAAGAGTACTGGCCAGTTGTTTTGCAGACATACTTAATTTGGGTTTGTCTAATGTTTCTCCTGATTAAATTTGGGTTCTGCATTTTGGCAGGAATATCACAGAAGTGATGTATTCTCACTGCATCTCATCTGAAGGTACATAATGTCAATATGTCTCATAACTGGTGATGTTAACCTCCATGACTGTTTATCAGGTTGTTTTCGCTGGATTTCTCCACCATAAAATTATTTTCTTTCTTTTTGTAATCAAAAAGAGTATCTTGTGAAAAAGTATTCCTAAGGACTATATAAATATCCTGCTTCTCATAATACTTTCTTTTCTTTTTCTTTTTTAATATGTCTTTATTGATTTCAGAGAGAGGAAAGGAGAGGGAGAGAGAGAGAGATAGAAACATCCATGAGAGAGTCATTGATTGGCTGCCTCCTGCTCACCTCCCACCTGGGATGGAGCTTGCAACCGGGGCATGTGCCTTGACTGGGAATCAAACTGCAATCTCCTGGGTCCTAGGTGGATGCTCAACCGCTGAGCCCCGCCCCGCCAGGCTCATAATACTTTCTTGCCTGCAATAATTATTAATGCAGTATTTGTCAAATAGTGGAGTTCTATTTCCATTATTCCTTCTACATTTATTAATTGGAATTCTACTCTAAGGAAACGCTTGTTCTCTTCTATTATTCATTCATTTATTCAGTTATTTTTATCAGTATGGGCTCATGGATATTTATTTTCTTTGGGTTTTAATTCATTGCTATCATTATTTTATTGCTCAATTGTCATAGATTTAGCTATAAAGAATCTTTTGAAGTGGTCTCTCTATTTAAGAGTTAGTTTGAAAAAGAAAAAAGAGTAAGTTTGAATCTTTTAAAATGGTTAAACACATATGTCTTTCTTGTATATTGTCTGTTCATGTCTTTTTTCCATTTTTTTCTGTTGGATTTGTCACTCAGTTTTTAAAAGTTCTTTATGTACGAAGAATATCGGACTTATTTGTGATGTATGTTGGAAACATTTTCTTCTAGTTTGTCAGTTGCCTTTTGATTTTGTTTATGATATTTTTATATACTTTTTAAATGTCAAATTTAATCTTTTATTG